ATGAGTTAAAGCACCAAAAGTACCCAATTTTGAAACCACAAAATATGAACAATGTACTAAAAATCTATGTCACTTAATCCTTGTTCTCAAAACAGTTTGGTTCCATCACATGTATTCTCAGCCAATCAGCTCTCAGTATGTATAAGAGTAACATATTTTCTATTAGGATAAAAAAAAAAACAGCATGTTGTGGCCTGATTTCATTTCACACATATTTATTAAATGTTGTTTGTTCTGTCAGAATAAAAAAAAGATGTATTTATGAAAACAAAATGCAGCTTTAAACGTGTCCAATCCTAAATAGAAAACGACACAGTGCCCTATGATACTTTGGGGAATGCAACAGAGTGTATCGTGAGTGAGTATTCAAACAAGTGTTGTCTTTGAAACACAAATCTCCACATCTCTCTGAGCAGCAGCGCTCTCTCTCTGCGGTGGGTTGAATATTATAAGAATAGAACATCCATTTCACTTCTCACTTTAACGGCTCCAGACAGAGCAACATCCTGAGAGCCCTCCTCTCAAACACAACCTGCGAGGAGACAAATATTATTTAAAAGAAACTTCAGATATGTTGTGGCTCTGCAAATTTGACTTTATAGAAAGAGCGGTGGAAATAACATTACCATAAGCTCGGTGCAACGCATGCATAATAGATTGTTGTTTTTTACTGTGCATATGGTAGGAGCTGGATTCGCTTCAAAGTGCACCAAATTTGCATGATTCGATGTGAGGGATTGTGGGATTACAGAACGGTTCTCCCCCCGCCTTCCTCTGTCTCCGCTATAGAAAGGTATCACATTCTCACAGATGGCGGAAAACATTGTGGAAATATTGCCATTACAATACAAAAGCGTAAGAACAGCAGCGAGGAGGAAAAAAAGTGGAAAAACGGGCTTCAATTTGCAAGTCCGACTTTTTTTAAACAACATGCGTTCAGTGTGTTGTCGCCAGCATGTGTTTAAAAAGTGGGAACATTTAAATCCATTGAGTGTCTATGGGGTTTGTTAAAGGAGAAACTAGAACTGTGATTATTTATGATTTGAATGCCTTCTATGGTTGTTTCTATCTTGTTTTGTTAAGCACTTTGAGTTGCCCTGTGTATGACGGATAGATAGATAAATAGACAGATAGATAGATAGATGGATAGAGATACTTAATTGATCCCCCAAAACAGAAATTCAAGTGTCCAGCAGCAGAAAGACACACATCCATACAGACAAATAAATACATAATTGCAAAAGTTATTAACAATAGTAATGCAACAGCAGGAGCAGGACAGGATCCCAGCAGCAGAGGTGATGTAAGTAAGTTAGTAAGTAATCTGTATTACAGCACATTTTACAGACCAAGGTCACGCCAAAGAGCTTTACAAATGTTGAGAGTTCTGATATTTTTCCTGCTGGTGATGAGCTGCTTCCTCTTGGTGCTGTATGCAGAGTCTGCTTGGTTCGGACCATATTCTCTGCTCTGGTCCAGAGTGAAATTCTGAATGCTTTATTAGCATTTAAAAAAATACATAGCATATCTCCATTGGATTTACGCTTGATCTGCTTTGTTCGGACCGTGAATCCTGCACACTGGGGTAGTCTTGCACAGTCTTGCACAGTTTTTCCAATGTGGTTTTACTGCAAATGGCAAATAAATGAATCTGATCTGATCTGAATCCTCTCTGCTCGGGTCTGGATCAGTGTAAAACCATGAACACTGTACTGCAGGAAGATTTACAGCTATAAATAAGTACAAAACAACAACTGTTTCAGAGATACTTAGGACTTGCTTCTGTTTCCGGTGCATTCAAATGAACTGTGCAATATAAATAAGTAATGTTTATTTATATAGTGCATTTTACAGACCAAGGTCCCCCAAAGCGCTTTACAATGTTAAGAGTTCAGATATTGTTCCAACCATTCCACACACGGTGACGACGGAAATGAGTGAACACACTGGCGCATCAGCCCCCAATCAACACCATCCATTCACTTTCATACCTATCGTGCATGTTATTAGAGGTAGGGGAAACCGGAGCACCTGGAGGAAACCTACGCAGACACAGGGAGAACATGCAAACTCCACTCAGAAAGGCCCTGTTCCAACCGGGATTCGAACCCAGGACCTTCCTACTGAGAAGCAAGAGTGCTATCCACCCAGCCACTGCGCCGCCCAATAATACTATCTATATACAGTACATATGATAAGTACAATATCAGAATCAGAATCATTTTTTATTGCCATGTAAGTAACAGGAATTCACAGACTCGGAAACTGCTTTGGTTCTTGGTCAAAAAATAAGGCATAATAAAACTTCATAGGCATAATATCCTTCATATGTGTGTTTCGTAATACGTCAGAATTGTGCCCTTACATATTGCAATACGTTAAAGATTTAGAGATTAATAGTAAGAGTAAGACCCACAGTGGGGAATTTTCAGTGTTGTATCATAAGTTACAGACAGTAGGAATGAGGCTTACCCATGTTTGCAGTAACTATAGCAGAGACTTCACCAGCAGCGCTATAAGAATGTGGTTCTCGTTTCATTCCTTCTGGTCTCCGAATAAAACTGTTGCAAATCTGAGCTACAAGTAAATGACAAACTGACTTCATCTTGCGCCGTGCTCCGCGATGCCTAAACAATTCCCCCGCAGCTGTCAAACACGCTGACAAAGCATTCGCAGTAGTAGTTTTGGAGCCCCACTAATGACCCCATGCTTTCTTCACATTTGACAGGTGTAAATTGGTGAAGATTTGGGTCAGAGGCTGGTGTGTTTTGACAGCCGACGTAAAGTGACAGCTGTATGTGATGTCAGGGAATGAAAAACACTGCTCTTCCTCTCTCCTCTTCATCACATCAGACTGACAGCGAACAGACAGGCCCCAGAGGCTGCTGCCGAAAGCACCACAAAACACGCTGCGTTTAGGCAAAACAAATGACAGACCAAAAAGGGAAGCAATATCACACGACTGGTTGCTTTTTTTTTGGCTTTTAGTTTTATCGAGCAGTGATTTGTGAATTGTGAAGAGACTGGAGTGAATTGTCTGAACTGGGAGAAGAGGAAAGAGTCATTCAGGACAAAAAAAGGTCTGAATGAAATGGCTGAGATTGAATTCTTTAAATGAGGGATGACGTGAATATTGACTGTCTGTGACTGGCTAATACTCAATATTCTATCAACTTTAGCAGTATATATGAATCAATACTAGTGAAAGGGCTGGATTTAGCAATGTTTCACCTCATCTCTGTGTATAGTGCTGTGTATAGAGTGTGTGGGGGTGATGGGGTTCACAAACTTAAAACACACAGCTGCTACTTCAAGGATTTCAGTTATTGTGAGTTATTTTTAGAACGTACCCCCGCAAAATAAATAAGGGACCACTGTAGACATCCAGGGGTTATATCAGTCAGCAAACTTGTATATTACATCAAAATAAAGGCAACCTCAAGATATTGCCTGACAGATATAAAACCGATCCCAATCTGTTTTACCTGATGCCAGTACTGTAACAGAACAGAAAGAGTCTTGTAAAAGTCAAAACCCCTTTGGGCTGAGAGCTGATTGGCTGAGGGAGGGTGGTGCTCTCTTTTTCTCCTTTCTGTCTGAAAGAGCTATTATAAAGCTGTGACAGGTCAGAGGGTAAAAATACATAACTAGCGATAGAACCAAGCCTGGCCTTAGCCATCCGTGAACTCTGGTCAATAATCATTTCCCTACATGTACGTCTGGGTCTGACCCTAGTGGCTGCAGTTTCCTCGGTTGTATTCCCTCCGACCATTCAGCGAGCGGAGGAGGCAGGTGTTGTAGGTAGGTGTCGGTGATGTCAAGAGTTTGCGCCAAATTTTCTGGTTGTAGTTTGGCAATGGTGGTGAATGTCATAATAAAGTAATCCGTTCTGGTTTGGCTCCCAAATACTCTATCAAGAAATTGAAGCCGGAGCAAGAGTAGTAGTAATATATTTATATAGTGCATTTTACAGACCAAGGTCACCCAAAGCGTTTTACAATGTTCAGAGTTCAGATATTGTTCCAATCATTCCACACACGGTGAGGACGGAAGCGAGTCGCCGAACACACTGGCACATCAGCTCCCAATCAACACCATCCATTCACTCTCTCATTTACATTCCTACCTATTGTACATGTTTTTAGTGGTAGCGGAACCCGGAGCACCCCGAGAAAACCTACGCAGACATGTGGGGAACATGCAAACTCCAATCAGAAAGGCCCTGTTCTGACCGGGATTCGAACTCAGGACCTTCTTGCTGAGAAATGAGAGTGCTATCCACTCAGCCACCGTGCCGCCCAAGAGGAATGTTTAGCAAAGGTCAATGCTTCGTTAGTAGCAAAGGAGATGGCTAAAGCTAAGCTAAATGCCTCACACCTCAACAAACTCAGATCCAATCGTTATGAAATGAAATTAGTACGATGGTTTGGTAAGACCACGCAAGATAGAACCAAACTTTAAAACCCAGCTTTAACAAGAAGACTTATAACATCTAAATTAATGTCTAGAGTCAATTCCAATATTGCATTTTTGTTGGAAAGTAGTTTTGAATGAAAAAAGCCAAGTTATTCATATTCTAGTCCATGCACCTTATTAAATGTAATGAATGTATTCTGCAGCAGAAGTCTATTGAAGCTGTAGTATACGCCACGTTTAACCAACTCCTCTGCGCTTTTAATTAAACCTATTTTAATGTCTGTTTGCGCTGTTCTCTCTCTGCCTCGCGATCCCCCTCTGATTGAATTCCCCCATAAATGATTCTACACTTAATGAAAGGCAAGCAATTAGAGTAAAAGCCTGATCAAATGGTGGCCTGTACTGTCAGTCAAATACGCTGACATGTAATTGAAAATGTGGCCTTTCCCTTAGCCTCCGCGGCCCTCATAATGCGGATCCGTTTAAAAACAGATCCGATTTCGGGAGGGGACGATACTTAATCAGCTAATTGACACGACAAAGACCCGTGTGGATGTGTGCCTTCCAGAACAGCTGCTGCGCCCATGTCCACTGATGAATCTTTCAGGTGGACACTCACGAGCACATCGGAGAGCACAGGTGAAAGGCGAGGAGACGTGTTCGGATAAATCCTCTGTTTGGAGTTGTTAAAGCTGGGGTACATAACTTTTCTTTTGTCATACATTGTGTTTGTCTCAATAGAAAGAGTCTTGGAAAAGTAAAATATTGAGAACAAGTCAGACCATTGCTTGCCATCTTCGTCGTATTAGAAAATAAATGCCATATTATTGCATATGAAAGATCCTTGGGAGTCATTCTATAATGTTTTGGGCTGAGAGCTGATTGGCCGAGTGAGGGTGGTCCTCTTTTTTTCTTCTTTTCTGTTTAAGAAAGCTGATCAAAACGACAGAAGCCAAAAGTACATGGATGTGAAAGTCTGAGACTGATTGAACAGTGGTGGATTCTCTTCGCTAAAAGTAAAGAGAGTTTGACAATCCATTTCGCTGAACTCAAAGACACGGCTGAGAAAACTGTGGCAACTGTGACAACACCAACAATGGCATTTCGAAAGACAATATACTGTATCTGCGCACAAACAGAGGAAGTTCACTAAGAATGACTGGAAAAGCTTGCAAAAAGATGTGGTGAACTAGATGTGCGACTGCAAGACGAGGTTCAGGAGACGATCCTGTTGCTCCAGGGAATCCAGGAAAAGACATGGAGCTGGACATGATGAGAGACATGATCAACAAGTCCAAGGACCAGAAGATCAAGCTGAAACTGGGCCAAGTCCAAGCGGAAGAAGACGCCAACCAATTCCTGAACGAGTCACTCAACAAGCTGTAGCAGAAGCTGGAGCAGGGGAAGCAAGAGAAGGTCCCCCATTTTGACACACTTACTTGTACCTTTGTGTGGTCAAGCTGAAAACTTCCCTCATGGACCTCTGAATAAATAAATAAAAATGTTTTTTGACAGACCTCTCCAAGTACTACTTGGTTGCAAAAACAGTACAGTCGCTTGCCGACATCTTGTCTTCTTGGGAGATGAAGTTATTTGGTAAGAGTTGCTAAACCACTTTATCTACTGTAACAATTCTATACAAATGTCTGTAGAATAACCAAATAACTTTCGTCAATAGCCGTATTCACTTTCCACAAAAACATGCAAATTTTGACCAAAACCCAGGGGTCAGGTGAAGAAGGTTATAAAACTACACTCAAGTCACACGAGTGACAATACTTTGGATAATGACAACGTAACGAGCACTGTAACATGCACTTCTTTTTCTTTTATAAAATTGTCCTTGTAAATATATGTTTGAAAATGTGCACTGTGACTTTAGAAGACTTATTTTGAAAGTCGGAAGTTTCCTTTCATTTTGACACGTTCAATTCAATTCAATTTATTTTTGCATAAACCTAAATCCCAACAGCATTGGAGGACTTTACAATGTTCTTGATTCCTCAACACCAGATTGTTTAATCAATGTTCCCTTCTTCCCTGTGGTGAACAGCCGACAGGAGCGAGACAAACAGTATTTGCCATTGGCTCCTCCGATCACCACCAACTATTCACATACACACCAGACTCCTTCTAGGCAATGTGGATGAAGTGTTTTGGACTCATCCACTGTGGCACCTTATGTTCGCAGAAGTCTCCCATCACAGAAATAGCCAGGGCCTTCTCTAATTAGACCCAGGGGTCCATTTGGATCTGGCTTGTACATGCAACCAACATCAGCTCTGTCAGAGCTTATTTTAAAACTCAGATCATCTAAAATCCATTCAAAACAGTCTTACAATCTGAGTTGTCAGCCCCTGGACATGCCTTGTGTGTGTAAGTTTGGACACCTCTGGTCTATAGTCACAGCACTCCTGCAAACCCAACTTTCATCCTCAAAAATACACAATACAAGAATCGTCCCAAACTGATCCATTGTCTGACATGCAGCCTGTTTTATTGACCGGCCATAGCATTAAAGGTCATTACTTGTCAGGCCCTTCCAAAGCAATTGCTCATAATTCACCTATCCAAAACCCCAGCGTGTCTCAACCTTGACAAAAGCTTCCAAGACAATTTAATGGATTAGCGTTTTCCCTCGGCTTTATGACACAACCACACAATTACCTTCAAGTAAGAAAGGCGCCTGTGACAGAGAAATAAAGCTGGAATAATGCGTGTTTAACTTGGACAGAGAGGCTGGGTTTCTTATGGGCCGGGCTCTGTGTGGACTATGGCTACAGGTCATTGTCCCACACATGAACTAAGTGACAATAATTGAGTTAAGAGGGGATACAAATGATGTCAAGGGTGTGCATGAAGTGGAAGGAGTCAACTGATTTATTTTACTAAACAATACATGCCACAGTAGATCAGGTCCACGCAGAAGAGAGAGGGGGAAGGGAAGGAGGCTGGACGCAGAGACTATGGAGACAAAACCCACGATAAACTATTATTAGTCAATTTAGAAGACAACGTTTGAATTGTAGATTTGTGACGGCAGAGAATCTAACAATAGTGGGTTTAAGAGGACATCTTTCCAATACAAGACCAGGGCTGGAGATTTCTATTGAAAGTGTTCAAAAGAAACTGGCCTGAATTTTTGTTGTTGCTCCATATTCTGAAAAAAACCCACACAAAAAACCCATTGGAATAAGCACCCAACACCTTTTGTCCAAATGCTGATTTTCAAATTAATAACGCTATTACATAGCCTTAGAATATGACATTACAAAAAAAAGTATTGCCTCAGTTTTTATGTATTTTAGAGGTTCTCAAATACGTTCTCGTGTACCTTCATTTATATTACATTGTTTTTTGTTTTTTTTATGTGAAATTATAAAATCATCGTGACCATCTGTAGGGAAATAAATGCTTTAAATACTTAAATAAATCATACAAAAGACAAGGGTGACAAAGGTACGCTCTCAAAACCAACAAACATGGTGCCCCATGCTTCAGGAGGCTCCAGGATAGGACCTTGAGCTGGACAGGGCCATGCGTTGACACAATGTTAGGCCGCGAGGAGGCGGACCGTGAGGAAGGGACAGTGCAGTGAACCCATTGGACCAGTACTGACACCAGAACTGAGACCTCGCTCCTTGAGTCAAAACTCCATGTTACAGTCTGGACGCTTTGTTCCATGTCAGATCAGGAGTCCAGTGAAGTTGTATAGGTTATACAAATTTGTGTCATCTCCTCAGCTGAGTTCTTGAAGAAAATATTCTAAAATCTCAAGTTTATGTCAATACAGTCTTTTGTGTTGCTTAGCTCCACTTCAGACTACACTAAACACCATTTAGCTGTGAAAAGGTTTGCTGCATTCTTCTGGAGACCAATACTTTGTCTCCTCTGGGATATGACTTGGTAGGTAGCTTTAGTTGCAAGTCAAAACAGACAACGTTAAAACAGCAGTAAGCAATTATCTTCACATTGGAGACATGACTCTGTTGGGGAGAGCTGGGCCCATTTCCACACGCTTACTATTCATTTACATTTGGCAAGTACCAATTACAACATTTTAAAATTCTGGTGCTGATATTCAGGGCTCTTAATGGTCAGGCGCCTGAATACATCACAGGCCTGATCCGGCCTTATGTCTCCAACAGGAGCCTGAGGTTGTCCACACAGAACCTGTTGTGGTCTTCCACACAGCCTTCCAGGCTGTTGCTGCATGCTCACCTTTGGGATGAGCTTCCCCAGTCTCTCCCCAGACCCATCTGCTAAGGCAGCTGTCTCGCCTCACCGTACATAGACCTGTATGTGTTGTTGTATACTTGTATATGTATTGTTTTTCTTTGTATGTTTTTATACAAAAGAAAATAGCACTGGCCCCTCACTGTTTTTTAAGATCAGTGAGGGGCTGGTGCTATGTGTACTGTGTGCAGCTCTGACTGCCACCCCCCGACCCAGAAATGGATTAAGGGGAAGAAAATGGATGGATGGATGAATGTTTTTTGATCCTGATCTGGCGCTATGCAAAAAAACTTGACTAACTTACTTACTTACACTGCAACCTACTTTCATACTAATATAATACAGTATATCATATTATTAGGAAATGTTTGCTTTGAAAACTTTAATAAGCTCCCACTACAGGAATACACACACAGCACTGCACTAATATCTTTGAAGCATGCAGCGTCTGTGTGTCTGTCTGTGGCTGGTACTGTATATTTCCAACCGTAGCTGCGTTTCTACCGCAGGAGTTCCTGGTAAAAGGAGCGGGGTGGAACTTTTACAGGAACCTTCCTCTCGGTCCTCTCAGTGTCCGTGTCCCCACTGCAGTGTAGGACCAATCGGCGACGATTAGTTTTGATTGCCGCATAAGCGAAACTCATTACGCCAAACCATTTGTTTATTTTACGGCCGTAACTGCTTCGTTTGTTGTGGTCTTTGAGTCTTTTTATAGTCCTGTGTGAGTTTTTAAAAACTTTTCAGGGCTTGTTTTGGAGTGTGATGAATCCCCAGTGCTTCGAGGTGAAGCTGATATGTCTTAAAGGAATAGTAGTAGTAGTAGTAGTAATCTTTATTTATATACCGCCTTTTCACTGCACATCGGAGTCTCAAAGCGGTTTACAATTGTTATTTGAATAGTGAATAGTGAATAGTTCACCGTTTTTACATACTGACATATGTTCTTACCTTACCTTAGACTAGTTAATACGTACCTGTCTGGTCTTAGTCCGTGCGCTCTGTCATGCAAACGGAGCAAAAACGGGAGCACAACCGCAGCCTCCTCTATATATTTTGTAGCACCAAAAGGTAGCTCCCGCTAGAAGCTACCAAACTCTTCCAAGTGTTCCCTATTAAATGTATATAGTTACGTGACGTGTTACACTGCAAAGTATAGTAACACAGAAATGTAACAGTCGATTTTCTCAGCGGATAAAACGGGTACTATATACTGTGAGGCGTAGTAATCTGAGGAGCGCTACGTCCGCGCACTAACTTCTCTCCGGAGACTTCTCTCTCGCTCACTTCCGTCAATAGAAGCAGCGTGACTTGTAATACACACAGTAGCAGCGAGAGAGAAGTCTCCGGAGAGAAGTTAGTGCGCGGACGTAGCGCTCCTCAGATTACTACGCCTCACAGTATATAGTACCCGTTTTATCCGCTGAGAAAATCGACTGTTACATTTCTGTGTTACTATACTTTGCAGTGTAACACGTCACGTAACTATATACATTTAATAGGGAACACTTGGAAGAGTTTGGTAGCTTCTAGCGGGAGCTACCTTTTGGTGCTACAAAATATACAGAGGAGGCTGCGGTTGTGCTCCCGTTTTTGCTCCGTTTGCATGACAGAGCGCACGGACTAAGACCAGACAGGTACGTATTAACTAGTCTAAGGTAAGGTAAGAACATTTGTCAGTATGTAAAAACGGTGAACTATTCCTTTAATATAGCTTTTCATTTTGCAGCGATGCCTCAAACCCCGTCTGAATCAATGCCGTGCTGTTGTTCGCTGTTTCCAGTGGTGTCTGCTAGGCTAATGCTGCTGTGCTAATGCTGCTGGGCTAATGCTGATAGGCTAATGTTGTTGGGCCAATGCTGCTGAATGCAGGTTATTTTGGTGCTTTCGGCTGGTTTCTGAGCCTGCGCTAGCTTTAGCCAATCAGCGCCGGGTTAACCTCAAGTCCCACCAGGGCCCAACAGAGTACCTAGCATGGAGGACGGACTCCGTTCGGCCCTGTAAAAGTTCCTGTAAATGGCTCCTGAGGGTGAAGTTCCTGCACCGACGGGGCTGGCCCTGGAAAATTACCCCGAAGTACCTGCGGTGGAAACGCGGCTCATGTGTCAGATGGACCTAAGCTTTCGGATACGGCTTAAACATGGTACAATGGT